ATTATCATAATATATATAAATTATTGATAGGTGTTTTCTTTTTTGGCACAATCACCGAATCATTATTATTCCTACATTATAAAATTATGTCCATGTTTTATGAAACGAAATTCTTGTGATTTACACACATGTACCACGTATTGTTAAATTGTGAAATGCCGCCTCCCCATGATTAATAATTATTTAATGTACCAAACAATAATTGTTATTATAAACTCCCGACGCTTTCCACTCTCTCTTCCACATATTTTATAATTTGTCACGAAATTAAAAAGTGTGGTACCATGAACAAAAAAGAAAACGATAAAAAATAACAAAAACTAAACATTCAATTCAATTGCATTTTAATCCTCTATTGAATTCTATTTGTTGCCATATATATGTAATTGATTTTCTGGTTGACTTCACCTGATCCGATCTGATCTGAAACGTTGTGTGACGCCAGTCACTAAAAATAAATAATTTTAATTAACCTCTAAGTTCTCTTTTGGGTAAATCCAAGAAAAATAATAGTAATATAAAACCCAATTAAAAAGGAAAATAGACCTTTATATAATGATATATTGATAAACTTGAATTGCAAATCAAATACAAATAATAAAATGAAAATTAAAATGTGTTTTGAATTTAGATATGAAGGACATTCTGCATGAAGGATTAAAAGATTACAATCGCTCAGCTAAGAAAGCTGTGCGATAAAACTTATTGAGAATCCGGTATGCTGCAGGAATCCATAAGATTTCGTTTAATATTTTCATTTAAATAATGTAGCTCACTTAAATAAAATCGATTATCGGTTTCCAGTCCAATCTTTTAACACGTTTTAGAGCAGATATATTTCTATATATTTATCAATCTAAAAATTCGATGAACTGGTATGTATTTAGGTACATGCTAACTTTTATTTAAGCCTTTACAGCACAAGGTCTTACAATACTATAGCTAAAAATTGTTAAGAAATGTTTAACAATGATATATATTTATAATGAATGACTGGTAGCATCTAGGTAACATTATTGGACCCAGCTGCTGTAGTGTTATTTCCACCATCGTCATTGTCGTCATCGTCCTGCTCCTTGGTCATATCGGCAAAGAAGTCGGAGGCATTTGTGCACTTCGATGACGGCAAATTGTGTCGCTTATCCTTGTAGGCGTTGTGCTTCTCATTGTATTTAATGTCGCCAAAGTCCTCGAAATATTTGACGTTCCAGAAGCGCACATCGTTGTTGTGCGATGAAGATGCCAATAACTCACCACTGCTATTGATGTCCAGCGATTCAATAGGCATATTGTGCTGGCCCACAACGCCCAGATTGCGATAGGGAGCAATATGACAGGCACGTATATTACCATCCTCGCCAGCTACGCAGGCAATTCGGTCCGTAATGGGTATCATCAGACTTATGGGACTTTTGATGCCCGGGTACATGTCGCAATGGTAGCCAAAGTAGCCCCAATTGTAGGTGTAAAGGCGTCCCTTAGAGGTACCCACCACCAACTTAGAGCTGCCCCGATAAATTCCCATGCAGTTCAACTCCTCCTCATACGGCTCCGATTGTACATATAACTTCCGAGCACCAATATTAAAGGTGGTCAAATAGCCATCGGCACTGGTTGCCAACAGCAGTTTATTCTGATCGTTAGTTAGCATTTGGGTTATCTGATCCTCCACCTCTTTCAGTTCGAATATGGCATCTTTGGTGCGAAAATCCCAAAGCTTTACTGTGCCGGCATCATCCCCGGTGGCGAATAGACGCTCATCGAGCACATGCAATTTGTTGATGGCATCATCATGTGCTGTTTCATACAATTTTTTTAGTTTCTCTGTTTCCATGTCGGTGACCATGACGCACTTGTCCTTCGAGCACGTAATCAAACTGCGTCCATCCTCGGTGAACTCAACGTCTCGACAGGCCTTTGCATGCACTTCAATTGAACGTAACAGTTTGTTCTCCTCATTGCCATATTCGTACAGATGTACATCACCAATTATGGTCGCCAGGGCGATAATATCTCGCTCTGGATGGAAGCAGATGTCTGTAATGAAATCCTCCAGTCTAATCTCTGGGGGAGCACTGCGTGGTTTCTTTATAGCTGCAATGATAGCACGGACAGTCTCATCCGTCTCATCGTCCTCATCCAAATGTGAATAATCACCAGATCCACTGGGACCTGAACCACTGGGCCCCGCTCCATCCATTGCATTTTGCTCCTTACGTCGCTTGGCAATGCTTGCGCCGGCCGTTGCGGCCTCATCCAACATTGAATCATCGGAGTCAGTGTCTTCCGCATTCGGATCGAAGCTGCCATCGCTGCTGATGCTCTCGTTAGAGCTGATGTTACCATCATTTCGTTCTGGCTCTGGACCCCCCATGTCTGCCAAATCGTATTCGTCGTCGTCACTTTCGGATTCGTTGAGTACCTCCTGTTCAATTTCAGCTATTACACCAACTACCATATCGTCATCAATGTCATCGAGTTCATCTTCATCTGCTGGAGTCTTGAAACACTCATGCCTGTGCATCACGTGGATAATATTTAATTGAATTCATTATTATTTCTTCGAAAAATAACTAAATACTTACGTAAGCATAGTAGGAATCACCTAAAATCAAAATTTTCCTGGTTTTATTAGACTGAGCACGCTTTTTTCCGCCAGAACAACCCAAACCCAAGAATAGCAAGAGGAAGCACCGCATACAACAAAACACATGCCTGGCGCACACAGCTGATGGCATGGCAACAACAACAGTAACAGTAATACGGTAACAAGTTACAATTTATGCCATGTCACACCCTGTACTCACATATGGAACAGATTCCAAAAGGCCTGACAGTTGCAATCAAGGTAATATGTGATATTAATGTTCAGAGAAATATTTAATTGTTTAAGCTGCAGGAATTTTAATATTATTTAACTAGGGATGATGTTTACATGTACATAATTATTATACTCACACATTTTGACCTCTGGTTATCGCTTGCCCTTGCCATACATTTTGTATACAGGGTATTATAAGAAAATGAAATAGAACTCTACAGTGTTGCCAGATGGCCGTGAAATCGTTATTTCAATTGCCGTCAACTTCTAACAATGGTGTAATGAAAAATCGAACATACATCTCCTCCTGATCATCGCACTGCATCATGAAATGCATCTCCAGCAGCCCGCTGGCATCAGTTTTTATTGCCACCTTTGAGGCCACCTGCATGGCTTTGTTTGTCAGCTTTATTTGCTGACTTTTGTATCTCGCCACCGTTGTCGCGCGACAGTTGAACAATATAACCATATCACTTGACTTGGCCACCTCTACGCTGGACTCTGCTTGCATGACACCCAAAGTGATGATTTTGAAATGTGGCTTTAACGGTGATATGGTAAATTCGAATTCATCTGCTGCTTTGTCCAGCTCATGAAAGATGTTGGATAAATCTGGGCCTCGCATAAATATGGTGTTCAAACTAGAACTATTTGCATCCAGGTCATACTCCATTGGCTCCTCCACATTGGTAGTTTTAATGGAGCACTCTGTGCTAACCTGATCGTCATCGTGAGGCTCTAACAACAGCAGCAATGGTGCACCTTCGCCCTTATACAGTATTTTAATACTGCAATCTGAGAGACCAAACAGGCTCAGGCACTCCGCCAGCACATTCATCTTCACACTGAAGCTCGGCGAGCCGTCGACCTTAAATTCGGCAAAAAATGCTGGAGCTATAAACAATGTGGCCTGTATGGATTTGCCCTGCTCCACCGTGATGAGTAGCCCATCTTCACTGGCTTGCAGAGTACCGAACTGTAACATAAAATACTTGATGAAAAATGTATAAACATAATAGTAGTAGACTTTTACATCACTAAAACAAATCGCCTTGATGGATGAGTATAAGGTCTTGATGTGCTCCAAGCGACACACCAGTTTATAGTTTTCATATTGTGATTGTGTTAACATTTTACGGTTTTTAATGATGCCCTTCTCGTACAGCACTTTCGAATGCTGCATCAATCCTCATAGATATCAATGTGAAAATACCTAAACTGATCAAGTGTCAAGATCTGAGTCCGCGGTTCTGGATGTAATAGCTGATTCAAACACTGTGCCAATATGTGCTCACACGTAAAGGAAACTTGATTGCTGCTCAGTTTCTCCTTTCGGTGATCCTGCTCTCCTGCTTCTTGCAATTGCAACACAAAACGTTGGAAGTAGCGGCACTTGCAATAATTAACACCAGGTACAACGCGCACAACATGTGCCAAGTTTCGCTTGCTAGTCAATTCCACTATACTGCGATAGCGGTCTGATGTGTAGTAGGTGATAAAGTTCCACTCATCAAGTATGTGTAATGCGCGCTGCAGAAGACCGTCTCCCAACAAGGCGCTTAACTCTGAAAATAGCTGCGAGCGTTCCCCTATAATGAAAATAATCGTTATAGCTATGTAGAGGAAAACGGAAAGTGTTGATTACCTTTAGTTAAAAGTATACCATTATTGCGTTTATACTTATTAAAAACCTGATGCACCAAGCCTGGTATAAACAGATCGTCTGTTTTTATCAACACCACATTATCAAGCGGCATTTGTATATGCAAATAATTAATCTTGATTCGCAGATATCGATTTATGAATTGCCGCGCAATTTTCGATAAGTGCTCTTAAATTTGTTAGTCAAAGATTTTGACCTCTGCTATTCGTTAAAGCTGGTTTATTCAAATAGAATCGATTGGACTTTATTATCTAATGTCTTATTTGCAAACAACAAGAAATACAACTATTTTTCTACTTACTGAATTTCGATATATTTTGATCCCTTCCTTGCTTGATTGCAAAATTCTGGCAACTCTATTCAAGTAAAATAAAAGGATGACTTTTGCCCGCGTTTTTTATTTTATATATGTTTGTTTACATATTCGTGTTCACTAAATTTAGTTTTATAAATGCTTAGAATTGTGCACAAGCTAACATAATGTCTAGAAAGGCCGCTAATCAGAACAAACAGCTGACAATGTCTGCATTCCTTGGTCTGGACAGCAACAGCCAGAGTCAATCGAGCCAACTTACGAAGCCCGCAAGAAAAAGTACTTCATATATATTTTCAAATGAATAATAGAATAATGTGAAACTGTCTTTTTGTCTTAGATATTTTAGCAGCAAGGACAGCAAAGGCAAAGTTTTATAATCCCATTTATCTCGACTCATCGTCATCCGATGAAGATGATGCACAGACTCAAAGCCAAGTGCCATCGTCTACTACTGCGACAGTTACGAATAAGGCGCCTGACAAAGATGCCAATGGCAGTGCGCTTATCAAAAGGTACAGCTTTCAAAATGCCAACCAGTCGCCACTAGCTCCACTGCCAACAAATTCTGTGAACAAGCAACAGTCGCCCGCGAAGGCAATCGTGGCTGGGAGTTTGAACTTTGATAACTTTGATGAGGTGCTCAGGCAGGATGCATCTTACCAAGCGACTTTATCAAAGCTCAATGGCCATATAAATAAATTGTCCGAATCTCCACGCAAAACACTTTCGCTGTCGCAATCTCCAAACAAATGCGCTGAATTGAATGGCATTGGATCATCGAAAATAAACAGCTCGAGTTCCAGCAACACTCTGGACGACAGTTTTGATAAAATGGTGAAAAAAGACGTCAAAGAGGAGCCCCTATCTGACACGCCCACTCAACTATTCGTGTTGCCCAGTAAGTCGGCCCCATCTTCAACCGAATCGAATACTCCAGGTTCCCTAGTGGGCAACACAGAGAAGCCATCAGCTGAGCCAGCAACGGTCAGGCCCAGACTTAAGATAGTGTTTGATAATACCCTGGCTGACTATTTGCGAGATTTGGGCCAGTATGATATAGGAATGGCCAAGACCGACATTGGACAACAGAATGAGACAATGCTAAGGAGCACAATGGGCATGTACAAGAGCAAGTACATAGAGTTAATGGAGAAGTACTGCGAGGTGATTGATCAGATACCCGCCGTGCAGTTTAATGAAATCGATGGCTTCGAGGCAAACACTTTTCTCAAGCTGAAAGTCATGCGTCAAAAGTTTAAGGCGCGTACACAACTCCTGGAACGACAAATAGAGCGCAGGCGTCAAGAGCGCAATGTGCAACCGGAAGAGCCAGACTTTGATGCACTGGAGCAAGAGGAACGCGAGATCCAGGCAGAGCAGCATCACACGCCGACAGAAACGCCTTACAGCCATGCAACATGTCCGTCAGAGGAACCGAACGAGGAAGAGGTAAACGATTTGGTCTTAATGACTACCAGAAAACCAACAACAACAAAAACATCTTCAAATACAAACTATACAAATGGCCCACCTGATGATTTGGATGACCTAGTGGCTGTGGATGGTCCAACAGAGTCCGACGAGGATGATTATTTAGCTCAGACAATGCGACTCGATGAGGGCGAAATATTCAGCTCCACACAATGCCCTTCCCCTGTTGTATTAGCTGCCCCAGACAAACCCACAACTGTTATTGAGTCCGACGATGATTTTGAGGAGACAATGAAGCAAATACGCGAGGAGCACGAGGCGTTGAAGGGACGAAAATCGGAATTTAATAACTATGCCTATGCTGATTTCGAAGCTATTAAGCAGCCACCAGCAAAGAGTTTACAAACCGCCAGCCAGGCTCCAACGGTTGTTCTTGATGATGACGGCTTTCCAGAGTACGATGAGGCGCTGTTTGAGCAGGCCCATATACTGGCGTCGCAAACCATTGACTTGACTTCCAACGCGAGGGTCGAAGTCCAGCCCAAGGCTACGTCTAGTACAAGCGGAGCTACAAATGCAGCAGTAGCGGTGACAGCTCAGAAGATCGAGGCTAATTTCCATTCCAATGTACATAACGATGGCATTACTGGCGAGTTCGATGGCCAGAAATATGAGCACTCCACACGTCTGATGCAGGCACTTAGCTTTAGCTTTGGTCTGAAGAGCTTTCGACCCAATCAATTGCAGGTTATAAACGCAGCACTTCTGGGCAATGATTGCTTTGTCCTTATGCCGACGGGTGGCGGCAAATCCTTGTGTTACCAGCTACCCGCGATTCTCACAGAGGGCGTTACCATAGTCATAAGTCCACTAAAATCTCTGATCTTTGATCAGGTCAGCAAGCTGTCGTCGCTAGATGTGAGTAAAGTGGGAAGGGCATGCGAATCAATGTAATTAATCATATTTATATCCATTACAGATCTGCGCCAAGAGTATTTCCGGTGATCAGTCTTTGGACGAGGTGATGACTATATACAGAGACTTAGAAAGTCACCCACCACTGGTAAAGCTACTATACGTTACACCAGAAAAAATTTCCAGCTCGCCGCGTTTCCAGGATACATTGGACCAACTGAACGCCAATAATTATATCAGTCGTTTTGTCATAGACGAGGCTCATTGCGTGTCCCAATGGGGCCATGATTTTCGGCCCGACTACAAGAAGCTGGGCATTCTGCGTAAGCGCTTTCCCAATGTGCCAACAATGGCGCTAACTGCCACAGCGACACCTCGCGTGCGCCAAGACATTTTGCAGCAGCTGAATCTGACGCATTGCAAATGGTTTTTGTCCAGCTTCAATAGACGGAATTTACGTTATCAGGTGCTACCCAAGAAGGGAGCCTCTACGCTGGACGATATGCGCAACTTTATACAGTCACGACCTGCGACCGCCAGCGGCATTATCTATTGTCTTTCGCGGAAGGAATGCGACGAGGTGGCGAAGAAAATGTGCGCTGTGGGCATTCGAGCGTTATCCTATCATGCCGGCTTGACGGACGTGGTTCGAGAGTCCCGCCAAAAGGATTGGATAACGAACAAGGTGCGGGTAATATGCGCCACAATCGCCTTTGGCATGGGCATAGATAAGCCCGATGTGCGCTTTGTCCTGCATTATTCGCTGCCCAAGTCTATCGAAGGCTATTATCAAGAGGCGGGTCGCGCAGGGCGTGATGGAGAAATAGCCGACTGTATCCTTTACTATAACTATAGCGATATGCAGCGCCTTAAGAAGATGATGGATGGTAAGTGTTGGAGCTTGAGTACAAAGATCACAATAAAAAATTCACTACTTGCTCCATTGCAGCTGATCGAGCTCTTCAGTATCACGTCAAGAAGATACACATTGAAAATCTGAATCGCATTGTTGGCTATTGTGAGAATATTACCGATTGCCGCCGTGCTCAGCAGTTGGATTACTTTGGTGAGCATTTCACAAGCGAACAGTGCCTGGAGGATCGGCGTACCGCTTGTGATAATTGCCTGAAGAAGCGCACATATAAGCAGATTGATGCCTTGGAGCAATGTCGCAAAGCTGCGTGTGCTGTGCGGGAATTGTGCAGCGGACGGTCACGCTTCACACTGCTCCATATAGCCGATGTACTGAAAGGCTCTATGATCAAGAAGATTGTTGATTTTGGACACAATAAAACACCGCATCATGGCGCTCTAAAAGACTGGGACAAGACGGATGTACAGCGTTTACTGCGGCATATGGTGTTGCACGATTATCTAAAGGAGGATCTTATCTTTACAAAGGACATTCCTCAGGCGTATATTTATCTAGGCAATAACATAACATCGCTTATGAATGGCACACCGAAAATCGAATTCGCTTTGTCACGCAAGGAGAGTAGCGGTGGCTCTAAGACGGTGGCCAGTGTCTCTGAACCAGCTGCAGCCGGAAGGCCCGAAATAAGTAATCTACACGAACGCTGTTATGCAGATCTGCTCGATCTGTGCCGCACCATAGCCGCTGCACGTAATGTGACCATGGCTAGTATTATGAATATGCAGGCCCTCAAGGCCATGGCCGAGCAGCTCCCAACTACAGAGAAGGACATGTGCGCCATACCACACGTAACCAAAGCCAATTTCGATAAATACGGAGCCAAGTTGCTGGAGATAACCAGCGGATATGCCTCAGAGAAGGAATGCTTGCAGGTCATGTACGACTTAGAGGCCGCTGAAGCAGCTGAAGCTGCTGCGGCTGCTGCGACTCCCCAAACTTCAAGTAGCGCTCGTGCATCGTGGGCGGCTCAAGGTGGTGATGATGATGACTGGGGACAGGCGGCGGCATCACAGGGAAGTGGTGGATCGGCGGGTGGAATGCGTGGCGGCAAGCGTAAGCGGGCTTGGCGCGGACGGGCCACAACCACTATCAAGCGCAACAAGGGCACCGCATCACCGCGCAAAAAAGCGACGCCGGTGAGAAGCACCCGAGGTGCCAGCAGCAGCAGTCGAGGAGCGGCATCCAGGAGAGGTGCTGCCACCGGTGCGTCCAGTTGGTTGGGTAAGAAAACGGGCACCAGCACCGGCTTTCAATTGATGCCGATGCCCGGATCGCGGTAGCAGAAGAACAATAAACATGTTTTTGTTTTGTCACTTTGTTAACCAACAACAACAAGCTTAAGCTATACTAATTTTTAAGTCTCCAAGCGGCATTTCTTATTAGAAAAAAAAAATCATACGATGCCAATTTATTTGATGATCGAACGCAATTTCTCCTCGAAATCATAAGCACCCATGGACCATATCAAATTGCTGTCAGTCTCCACCTGCACAAACTCCGTGGAATAGGTATTCGAAGTACTGACCATACCACCAAATTCCAATTGTGCATGATCTACAAATGAAAGGAGTACATTAAGGTATCTATGGGCAATCGGGTACTCACGACACACTTACATAAGTTCCACTTGAGACCCTGTGTGGTCACATTGTGAGCAGTTCTGCCAACAGGTATTAGAGAGCACCAGCGCTGACTGGTGACCAGGTCAACAGGCACCTGTATAGTATGTTTGCCTGGTCGCAGCAGCCACGTGATAGAATCACCGCTCAGAAGGTATACATTACAATTTTCTTTCTGCACTTTGAACAGTGTATTCAGGTTGGCCATCACCTGGTCTAGTCGACCAGAGCAATCATGAAACACTACCACATCCTTAACCTTGCGCTGTACCATGACAGGCTGTAGAACTGCGAAGGCTTTGGTAAAATCTGTAGCATCCTGATCGGGTGTGCTTATTTTCGGTATTCCCTTAAAATATTCAATCGTATCTTCCGTAATTGAATCAAAATCGCCTGTTATCAGATCTGGTGGTTCAATGTCGCTCGCCGCAGTTTCACCTTTGCTATTTTTCTTACCGTCTGTCTGTGATATGATAAAGTTTTTCAAGTGATTGGATCCTCCATCGACGGCACACCGCAAGGTCGCTGTAAACAGAATATTGGGCGTCCTTATTTGAAAAACTTATGTTTTGATTATGTTCATTTTCACATTTACCGTTCTTCCATAACAGTTTGACCACGTGAGGTGGAACCTGAATTTGTCGATTGAGCACAATGCAAACATGGCCATTGGAACCAAGTTTAAAGTTGTCACTAATAAGATTTCCAGGTGTCCATTTGTACTCTTTCGGGGGTATCGTGTGGTCCATTTGCTGTCGAAATCCAATAGTTGTTTTTGTACAATAGTTGCGAGGGAGTCTACAGATGGTGCCAGCTTGTCTGCAAAAAGAACTGCAGTCTGGCAACGCCAAGGTGGTGCCTGCGCCGCGCAATAATTTGAAAAGGGCATTTTTGATAGCTGCCCCTGCTGCCATCTTACGGCAGCGCGTGCCGTTAATTCGTACGAAACTCATAAAATTTGATATAATATGCTTGGCACGACTTGGCATTTTACTATTTAATTTAAAAAAGCGACATTAATAACGACTACAGACTTTGCGTCAATAAATCAACGCCGTCAACAAACCGATTATAAGCGGCTTGCAACTCTGCAACGCCGCAAACAAAATGGCTCTGATTTTTGCAGACTAAAAAAGATTCATTTTGAATTTTCGCAATATAAAAATGCCAATCATTTGGGTAAAATGAAAGAAATAAAATATAAGTTTAAATGGTCGTGTGTACGAGAACAACATAGGTATTACAAGGAAGATTGTACAAATAAAATGGTGTTGAAAGTTTGTGATTAAGATTTGAATACAAAAACTAGTTCTTATAAAACGGCACACACACACGCACGAGCTGCAAACAGCTTCCCAAAAATGGAAGGTATGGATCTGTGGACGTCAATGTTTTCAGCAGATTTCGATGAAGGTGGTGGTGAGATGGAGGGCCATAATAATGGCGATAACGCGCTTGCAGACGAGTTTATGGGAGAAGAGGAGGAGGAAGAACAGGAGGCTGAAGAGGATGAGTGCTCGGCCGACGAAAGGGGCAGCAAACAAAAAGGACACGAGCCCGATGACGATGCCATATTTGATTTTGAGCTAGAGCCCATTGTTAGCATTGCGGAACCAGAACTGGAACCGTTGCCCAGGCAAACGGCGGTCCCCCTTCAACCCCCAATGCCAACGGGTCCGGCCATCCGACCCCAGCACCGCCAGTCGTTGCCAGCGTCGTTCAGCTCTCAGCCGATGGTGGCTCGTGGCGGTGCAGGTACACCGTCCACACGGCCAACAACCTCACAGATCAATGCCACTGATGAGAACGGCGTGCCCATCAATTATGAACTCGGCGTTACTTATATATGCCCCGCTTGCGGCGCAGAGTATAGGCAGCAGGACATGTGGAAGCGTCATATGAATCAGATGCATCAGTACAATACCCGACGAGGTCTAAATTTCGTGGCCATTGACAAGTTGTATCACCGCTGCCTGGAGTGCAACAAGCGCATCGCGATGCACAGCAGAGAGAATTTGCTGAAGCACAAGTTTACACATTTGCCATTTAGGTGCACCAAGTGCCACATATGCAAGCGCGAGTACAAATACAGGCAGGACCTGATGGTACATCTTCGAATGGTGCACTGTGATGAAGTGGTGGCCATGATGCGTGGTGGCAAACTGAGTGCCGGACGCAAGACGCGTGTTCGTGAGCCGCGAATCGAGCAGCACCGCGAACATTACGGACAGGTTCATGACGAAGATGGCATTGAGGTTAAAAACGAGGTGTTGGGAACGGAAGGCAGCGCGGAGGCAGCTCAAGAGTCCCATCATGATTTCGAAGATGAGTACAGTCACACTTCCAACCAAGCGGCTGTAAAGAAGCGTACCACTTCTGTGGGAGCTAATGGCAGCGGTGCAGCGGATATTTGCGAGGACTATATACACTATATGTGTCCGGATTGTGGCACCGATTGTGATACACACGCCCAATGGAGTCAGCACATTGAATTTGTACACGATTACGTCAGTCGAAGGGGGCTGAACTTTCGCTGCGTGGATATGCAAATGCAGTGCCTCGAGTGCAAGCAGGTGAGACTTGGTATGGTTATATCAGAGATTGCTTTATATTGCCATATTTTTTCTCTATTCAGTTTGTTATCCCGAACACCATTAAGACACTGCGCACACACAAGTTCAGCCACTTGCCACAACCGGAATGGATGCGTTGCAAGCTGTGCTATAAGGGCTTTACAGAGCATCATGAAGCTATAACGCATCTTCTTAAACAGCATAATTTGGAAACCCTAATGCCTGAGAACGAAGAGGAGGAGCAACCGCAGCCATTGGCTATATCCAGTGTGGGTGATGAGTGTGAGGAGAATCCTGGCATTAGCTGCGATGATGAGACTTCATTGCATTGGGACGATGTGCCTCGCCGTGGTGGTCGCATCGGTAGCGATGATATGTACGAACCGCATATTGATTATCTTTGTCCGCAGTGCGGCAGAGAGTTTATAGAGAAGAAACATTGGCGCACCCATGTTGTACAAGTGCATGGCATGAATGATTTGACCAAGTTGAATTTCGAGGTGATCAACGATCGCCAGTTGAAGTGCACCGAATGCGAGAAGATCATAACAAATGCCTATGGCATACAGAATGCCCAGCAGCACAGGATAACACATTTGCCCTACAAAGCGTACGCGCGATGCCGCAAATGCCACAAGTCCTACACGGATAGAAAGGGTCTTGTCAAACACTTGGCAACATACCATCGTGTGGGCTACGAGCCGCGCAAAGTAGTTGGATCAGGAGCAGGTGTTGCACCATTGACGCCAAACAAATCTCACACGCCGCGCAAGCAAATCGTCACCGTGGCCAATGAGACATATGAGATTATATATTTGGATGAGGAGCAATCACCGCCTAGTAACAACAATATAAATGATGAGAACGATTTCGGCGAGCAAATGCAAGCGGACGACGATGACTACGCCCTAGGCAGCACCAGTGGTTTAATGGGACGCCAGCCGCAAGCACCTACTGCTGTCGCTCCTGCACCAATTCCTAATCAGAATCGTTATAAATGCGTAGACTGTGGCTCGCTATTTGCCACACAGATCGCATTAAAGACGCACATCAGCGAGGAACATGATTTTATGGACACGCAATACAGTGCCAAAAAGTTTGACAATGCGGAGCCCACGGAGGAGGCTGCTGCAGTGCCGGTGGCCGTTTCAACCACTGCAGCTAGTTTGCCTGTAAAGAACACCTCGGGAGCTTCCACCATAGAGCAGAATTATATATTCCTGTGCCCGTCGTGCGGCAAAGCCTACAAGACACAGTTCGAGTGGCGTCGCCACATCAACGAGGAGCACAACTTCGACAAACGGCAGTATTTAAATATGCGCCAGCTGGACAAATATCGCTATCAGTGCACCCTTTGCAAGGATGTTGTGTGCAATTCTAAGCTGAAAGGCTTGCAGGATCATCATTTTCGTCATTTGCCTTATCGGCTGTATCTGAAGTGCCTGGTGTGTGGCACCTGCTACAATCATAAGCCCAACATCGCAGCGCATCTGCGTACGCGGCACAACATCTATGAACGGGAGCCCTCATCTTGGCGGGACCAGCACCAAAAGTCCCAGAATGGCCACGAGCAGCACAAGCATAAGGATAAGGATGGGGATACGCAAGCCACTGCTGCCACCGTCACAGGTTCTGCCTCACCTACTCCCAGTAGCAGTCGCACGCTCAAGCCACAGCCGGGCGTGTTGCCGACGAGACCCGCTGGACTCAACACATTAGAGGATAGTATATCGTATCACAATGCCGTGGATCTGGACTTCATCACCTATTTTTGTCCTAAGTGCAATAAGAACTTTGACTCGCACGCCTTTTGGCGCAAGCACATCGTTGAGGTACACAACTACAATAGTAGGATAGGCTTGAACTTTCGCCAGATTGACATCCATCACTATCTGTGCCTGGAGTGCTATAAGCGTGTGACAGTGACGCACACTAAGGGCGCCATTGGGCAACTACAGTCGCACAAGTTCCGACATCTGCCTTATCGCTCCTTCAAGTGCTTAACCTGCTCCGGGGAGTTTGTTCGCAAGCAAATGTTCTTCAAGCACTTGAACCGCGACACAAATCGTTGCGACAACAAGCCGTTGACTGGCCAGGAGAATGACGAAGATACAACGGATCAGCCAGACAGGCCGCCTCCCATGCTCGCAAAAGAGACAGTCGATGTCGCGACATATCGCTTGATGTGTCCTCAGTGCGGTGATGGGTTCACCACCAGCAGCAAAGCTCTGTGGCGAGAGCACATTAACATCCATCATGGTCTAGGCAAGCGGGAGATGCTGCACATGCGCAAGCTGGGCGACGAATTGTATCGCTGCACGGACTGTGAAGAGCAACTGCAAACGAAGCAGCTGAGAGTGCTGCAGCAGCATCGATTCCAGCATTTGCCCTATGCCGCATATATACGCTGCCAGCTATGCGAACAGCAGTCGCCGGATGGGGTAAGTCATGGTGTGGCGGCTGCCGGATTACATAGTATGCGTGAACTGCAACAGCACATACGCGACGTACATCCGGAAGTAGTGGCGCAGGACAAGCAAATGCAAGTGCTATTGGACGAGGAGGATGATAGTCAGCAGCCGGCTGTTGGCGGAGAAGCAACTGACAGTGGACTCTATATGCCGCTGCCGCCGCATTTGCTAGACGATGCTGCAGAGGATGTGGAGTTTGAGGAACAGTATCTGCTAGGTTAAACAGAAACACTGGCCAAATCTTGCCAGCCCAGTGTACAACAGAATCTGCAAGTCTGCCAATAGGAGACCCCATTTACAATTTAAAATCTCTATAACTACATATATATATACATATATCTAACTGAGCATAAGTATTTATAGATAGTTTATGGTTATACGACTCTCATAAGAATTGAAATTTCCTTAAGAATTCTCGTTTAATTACTTAAGTAGATTATAAATAACACTACAACTATTTATTATTTATCACCATGCCCTAATCTCCCAGTCGAGTACCACATACAGATATACATTACATTACAAACTAACCGTGAAATTATTATGAGATTTCTGAATTAGCTACTGATACATAAATAATTCATATATTGACAAAGTACAATCTATACTTTGTCCTAATTTATAGTTATTTGTTCGATGACAATTAACTAGTATCTCATTTTACAATGATTGGTCTCTATTTCGATTAGTTCTAGAAACACAAATCAGAAAAAAATTAGCAACTTAATATTTAATATTAAATTAAATTATATCTCTAGGAAAATTTATTCTTTTTATTCCAAAACGAATTCAAATTTTATATAATTGACTATTTCCTCCAAATGGGGAGTACAAATTGTATTTTTATCTTTTTAGTGATTTTTATCAGCTTTAAACTTGTTCCAGCCCCTTTTTAGTTTTAACTTTAGCCTTTCGTTAATATACTGAAAATAAATAAGAAAATAGAATATGACAAAAAATTGTTTGTGTTTCTCTATTGAATCAAACTTGGCTCAAAACTGCAGAATATCATTCGACCAATTGGATGCAATACGTTCGTCCACAGTAATGTTACCTGAGTACCTCTTAACATTCTGTTAAACATCTAAAGGTAACATGAGTGAAAGTGAGATGATGGCTACAAATATTCTGATAAGATTATAAATCGAAAATTATTATCAATGAAAGTAAACCCAGTACATACTACTTCAATGACATACAGCCGATCAGGCGAGGGGCTTAAGTACTCGAATTATTTAAAGAATATTTATTGACACGAGTTATTATTAATTAGTAATAGTATTTTCGTTTATTATTAATTTCGACTAAAAACCCATATAACATTCCACAAGTGTTTTCTTTTTCTTGAATTTTTACTGCGTGTATATGTATTTATCAACGATGTTTGTAGTTTGTGTAGTTGTGGTTTGGCAAACACGAGTTAACAAAAAAAAAAAAAAAAAAAAAAGGAAAGAAAAAAGACAAACAATTTGAAAAGTATAAAAATATGTATATTGATATACATATTTATATACATTTAAATGTCAGACATATCGAGCAGCTGACACTGCAATGTGATTGTGATCCAATTTAGTACGATAATAATACGATATGTATATTGTTTAATAGAATCCTAAATCTAAAATTTATTTCATTTTTGTGTATTTCGTTTAATGTTATGTAATACAATAAATAATAATGAATACTTTTGGAAAGCATAAACAAATTGCACGCATGTAATAATTGCAACTATTTAAATAATAATATAATATAATAAAATACAAATAAGAACAAAAACTGTTTTCTTATTCAATATAAAACAAAACTTTTGCTGTTTTTCATTTTTGTTTGTTTCTTTTGCCAAATACTTTTCGTTTGCGCATGGAATGAACATTATCTAATTGACTGTTCTTTAAACAGTTTTCCTTTGTGGCTTTCCCCACTATCGTTTCGAAGCTTACAATTTGTCAGTTCCTTTCTCTTTTGTGCACGCCTGTCTCACTATTCGACTTTGCCTTAGAATTGATACAAAACTCATTCATTGAGTGTGTGTGTTTAGTAACAATTGGTTTCTCTTTGTTGTAGAAGTAATAGTAAATGGTTCTGTTTTTATTATTGTTATCTGTTTGCAGCCTCACAGCGTGGGCATATTCCTTCTGCTACTGCTTGCGCCTCCTCCAGGAGCTAACCCATCCTGTTGCGCCTTTTGTTTGGCGCGACGCGCTTTTTGACGGGTATGCTCGATTTGGAAGTCTTCCACACGCAAGTTGAGCCGCATCATATTGTTGATGATGAACTCTTCCTCCATGATATGCTCGGGCGGGGAGCGTAGCACCTCTAGCGTTTCGCACAGACCAGTGCACGTTTTGCGCACCTTGTGTCGGCTGAGTGAGGCACCAATGATAACCAAGGCCACCTTAAACATTACTCGGATGCCCTCGGCGAGAAAGCAATCCCAGACACGCAGCAACGTCTCCCAGGGAAGAGTGCGTGTCATGGCGCACAGGAACCAGTCCGTCATATAGAGCAGCGGCTCCACTTTGTGCTTCTGCAGGTGACGATAGACGGGTGGGCAGGTTTTCTTAAGCAGTCCCTCCAGGATGCCTGCATCATTTTGTATCACCTCGAGACCAGGTATAAAATAGTCCTGCAAGTAGCTATAAACAGGCATGAGTTTTTACATAGCTCAAAATGAGGAGTGGCGAGACTTACACATCACATACGCTTACGAATACCCAGAAGGCATCCTCTGCAGGCAAATGCATCAATAGAAATGCGGCTATTGGCGCTTGCGCTTGACAGAAGCCAACCTTGGGATTATATATCGAATAGGCCTTGAGCACATTGAATAGCTCGATTTGGCCCACCTTCTCCTCGTCGAGAAACATTTCGTGAAACGGGAACTGACGATGTTTATCTTTTCTAATCTCCTCTATGGTCGATGGATTGCCGGGCTTCTTCAGCAGCTCCTCATAGACATCGGGATTCTTTTTCTTAAGCAAATAAGCGCCGGATAGATAGAACCAAGCTTTTGGGCGCACCGATTTAGGTATGCCTTTACGACATCTGTCACGTATCTATGATGTGGAGTGGAATAAAATGTAATAAATATTTGAATTAATTCACTTATCGCTTACTAACCTTTTTGTAGTTCTTGGACATATAAATGGACCAGTTGTCAATCATGTAGAGCCATTTCTTTTCACGCGCTATGATTTGTGCCTTGGACAAAGGCTCTTTGGGTTTGTCACTGCGCTGAAAGCCGCCATAGAAACCATTGCGATCGGGGCAACTGGATACGGTGGAGCACAGCGAGATGGTATCCAAAGCTCGCGGTGGCGTTGCCATCTGTGTCACTTGTGCTGCGCAGAACGATTGCAAACTAAATCCATAAATTATTACAACACTAACATACGCCCACAATAAAGCAATTTAACCTGAGTACTCAACAAGTAGATGCCCTATACACAGCGCTACTTTTTAATATTCTAAAACGGGAAAAAGTGTATTTCCAAATAAATTATTTACACAATTAAACCAGAATATTCGACATTTCTCATTTATTTTAAAATAATTCTTTTCTGCATTTTTTTTTATAGTTGATTAAACTTTCTTAAATGGGAACAGGGTATATTAAGAAAGAAAAACAGCTTAAGATATTTGTAAGGGTAAGTGTAGGTGGATTGCGAGAGAGGGCTACGATATTGAGATAAGAGAGACAGAGAGAGCGAAAGAGAGGTAGAGCGCACCCAACTACAAAAAGCCAAGATAATTTGCATTAATAATCTGATGTTTGTATTTGTAAAAATGAAAAACTGCGCAATTAAGTGCGATCAACGTAATTTTTGACGGTTTCTCAATCATTCTCTCAATATATTTTTTCGTTTGGCACATATTAGTCACATAAATATATACATATATGTATATGTTAAAATTTCGTATCGTATACATGTCTTTCTCTAACTGTAGATATGATTTTTATTGTTTATTTATAACGATTACTTATCAGCGGTTCACTTAGATAATAAAACCTTGAAGATTTGAGTTATTATTTGGTTTCCTATTTATCTGTATGCGCACATTGGTCGGTTTATCTGAAGGAGCTCATCCAAGCTGGCGCTTCGTTTTTTTTTATGCGTGCGAAATAACGGAACCATTGCAACTATTTCAAAAATCATCTATGCAATGCCAAAAAGGTCTTAAATAAATTGCTAAAAAGACAGACAAAAGGGGCAGACGGCAGAACAGCCGGCACAACTGTTTTAGAGTTATATACATATGTATGTATGTATATAAGCCAGCACGTGAAATACAAAATCAAAGAATTTACGAAGGAGCACGGCATTTATAATGTTTACTCAATTAGTCAGCAACGGACGTAAAAAGGGAATAGTAATCTATAATAAAAAAGGTAAACAAAGAACTCAACTAATGAGCGATATATGAATAAACTGTTACCGCAATTGTATTTTACAATATTTACAATACAGTGATATCTCCGAAAATGGTTTTACTCATTTACTCAACTTGTTTAAATTAATATCAAGTTTACTGAGTGGAAATGGAATACAAATATAAAAAAAATTTAAGTTACACAAATGAAGAGGGAAGTGTAACAATCTGGCATTGCGACCTCTTATAAGAGTGATCTTCCAGTTGGACACCGGAAGATGCAACTCAAATGCCAACTCAGACGTAAGCATTGTCAGTTCGAGTGGCTAATGACAGACGACTAACTAATTGAGGCAACTGTGTATGTAGTTGACTTTAATAACCTACTGAATGCTTAATTGCAAAACAAAAAGCGAGTGAGCAACTACGCAAGTGAGCAAATAAAAGTGCAAATGCAGCGCAGCTGCAGGGCGAAAAGAAAGTCGCTGTGACACAATTCTGATGGGGAATTGCGGCTGACGGATTGGAATCACTACATTTCTTATCAGCAACACATATTTCGAAAATTGGTGTCTAGTTAGCCCAAGTCAATTGTGAAGGTTTTATTGAGTAATATAATACACACACCCACACACACAAACTGACACGCACAAACACATACACATGAACATAGCTCAGGCGGTTTGCGGCCCACCCACCATCAGTGCTCTTGGCTGCCATTTTGCTTGAGCGCTCCAAAAGCAAGTGTCACTGTATGATACTATGGCGGCTGTGGTTGCCTATGTGTGTGTACAATACTATGCAATTGTTATTATTAACGCGACGCTCTCGCCTGCTTGTTCCCGTCATACACATTCACGTACACTTTTTGCTTACCTTTCGAGTTGCTTGTTCTGGCTGGTTGCTGTTGTTGTTGCCTATTGCTACTGAACTGCTTCCGTGGAATGCGCAATAGTTGTTTTCACGTTTAACTTTCTATGCTTTCTTGTGTTATTCGTTTTGTTTCACATTTACGCACACACTTTGCGCCCGCACAAATGTGTTGCATTTATTGTGTGAGTGGAACCACTATTTTCCAATTGGATTTTGTTTATTTCTTATACAAACTGGGAAGGGTGAGGTAGCCATCGGAATGACACTTGTTTTCTTTTCTCATTTGCTTATTTACGCGTTAATGCACGTTTGTAACTTGTTCAACCGCACTGCTTGCTTTGGCACACAAATTGTTATTATTTTAACGTGCTTTAAGCAAAAATTGCACAAGAAATACAATTATTTTTTTGGGAGCTACGTGTGTTGCGCGAATGAACAGCCGAGCACTTAGCGATGACATTTCGTTGGTCTTTGTACGAAAGCAGTGTTGCATAGATTTCGATAGGCGAGACGCAGGTGTTCATGTAACATTAACAGAATATGTTGTGTGAAAAGCGTTAACAGTTTATTTAGCGCGGAGATTCAAAATGTTAGTTCGTTAAATATTAAAAATAATTTTATGAAAAATGCATCTTTAATAGATGGGCACGTTCCACTTCGGCAGTTGAAAATTTTCTCTTCTATGATCGCCCAGCATAAAGTGTGCCAGATGACATAGTACCAGCAATAAAAATGGTAATCCTTGCACAATAATAAAATGTATGACTCGAACCAAATCTTGCCAAGAGATAATTTCTGAACGTATTCGAAATAAAGCAATTATCGCCATAAAATTGCACATGATGAGCAGCCTACAGAAGATGTGCCGTCGACTTAGCCATGCCATATTACAATTCGCACAAATGATGCACAGCAAAAGGAAGATCGGCAACAAAATTTTGATTGTGATCAGAAGTCCATTTATGAGCGTCGAATAGAAACCAAAGCCCGTGAATCGCATGTAGAAGCGAAATTTATCTACTGCATCAATGTTGCCAATGACGAACAAAGAGTAGCAGCTATAAATTAGTATATACATTGCCAGTGTGGATTTCCGATTGATGCCTGTTCCGATGCCTTGGTTGAGACGCAGCTGCAACTGTAGTTCCATGGCCAGTAGTTGTATGACCAGTGGTTCATAGGACGTGGAAAGTAACGCATACAGTGTACACAAATCGAAGAGGAGCTGCTTCGCACCGTCCCGTCGTTGACGCGGAAAAAACACATAGCAAGCGAATGCACGAGCAATCAGTTGAAGTAAACACGCCTGCGAGCTGAAGAGGACGTGCAGTCCAGCCAGGAGCAGTACCATGCCATTGAAAATGCAATATCGCCGCTTTATCAGCTGCGGGCTGCAAATAAACGGACGCACTGCGGTGATGAATAGGCTGCCGAGCAGCCAATTACCTTGCCAATAGCCCAGTGCCGGAGGCAGCCACGATAGCGCTGTGAGAGCACAAAGAAGCAAAAACCAGATGACACAGATTGGTGAACGCTGCGCAAAAGCGATCCGATTATGGTAGCAGACAAATCCAAAGTAGATGAGTCCAATGAAGCGGCGAAAGAAGAAGCCGGCAAAACAGCAAATGGAGAACAGCATGAGCATTATCAGCTGGCGATACGATATTAAGTATTCCTCATGAAATGCACCTTTGTAGCTCCAAAGGAGCATCGGCAGCAGGAGGATACCACTAACAAGCCAGGGCACACGCTGCAACAGCACAAATATGATTAACAGAAAGAACACCAGGCGCACCAGTGCCTCGAATATTAGATTTAGCACATTCTGTGATCCGGATTTCGTGCCACGTAACTGATGCACCCAGGCCAGAAAGGCGCAGGCGCTGGCCCAAAGCAGCGCTTGGCGATAGTAGTGGACATAGTAGTCGGTCAACTCCAGAAGCTTGGGCATGAAACCACTGCAGTACTCCGTGAGCGTGATGTAGCGCTGCTGATGCCACATCGAATCGGCCGTCCTGACGAATGTGTGGATATTCACGTCGCTTAGCTTATGACTGGGTAGGAGCTTGGTCAGGAGACCACGTTGATGTCGGCCTAGTGCCGCTTGCGCCAGGTTGACAAACTGTAGCGCATTCAAGTAAGTGGCATGTGCTTCATGGAAACTGGTGTTGAGCAGACCCGCGGGCAGCTGGCCGCGATTGTGCATTGGGAGCGGCAGACCCAATAGACCACTCATCACTGAGACCAACTGTTTGGCGTCCAGGACGTGCAGCGGTAGGCGTTGTCCCTCTTCAGTGGCCACAAAGCTGCGACCTGGTTGGGTCGAGCAGTTGGCCACACCTGCGCCCCATAATACAAATGGCATCTGCACCTCCCCGTTGTTGCTGGTATTGTTGTCCCCTATTAGGAGTTGATCAGTGGAATAGTTTAATGAGTTCCATACATTGAGGCAGCTTACCTAGTGATCCGACATGCCGTGAGGTCAGCAAATATGCAGTGCGCTGATCCTCAAAAGCCCGTTCAATTATGTTGTAAGTCTCCCAAATGGCACGTTGTGTATAGTTCAATTGTTGCTGATAGGTTCGATATAAATTGGGCAGGTTAAGGCCCTGCGCCTGGATAAAGAATACCTGACCGGTGAGGTTCTGCATCTGGTGGGATGCTATTAGAATATGAGTTTTCACTGCCCTAAATGTCCACTCGTCCAGGACGATTTTTTTGGTGTTATCGCCTTGAAAGTTCTCCTTCAGCTCCGCTGAGCACCAGGCATGGCTGGAATCGCTCCGATTGAAGATTGTGTCAATGGGTATTCTATGCACTGCTGCCAGGACATCCTTATGGCAGCCAGAGAAAAGTGTCGTAAAAGTGTCGCATCTGTTAGTCACACGCGCACGACTTATACCAACCAGACCCTGATGCAGAAATATCTGCTTCAGATGCGGCACATTACGGCAGCGTTGTTCGAAGAATGACTCCATGTTGAGTCCATCGACAGCAAAGATGACCAAACGATTGGCTGGCGGCTTTTCCAGCAACGGTTTCTGTGGCTCCAACCCACTCAGCTGCGTGCGCCGAAAGTAGATGACGTACACGGAGAACAGCAGTAGCAGCTGCACAGCGCAAGCATACCAGTAGGTAATGCCCATAATAAAAAGTATACCAACAAAAAATAAAATAAATTGTCAAATGTTAAAATTTACGAATGGAGGAAATACTGCCTAGGCGAGCTAGATATAGAAATCTAAGCTAACTCATGTCGAGATATTAAGTATTATTTTTATAAATATTTTTACTTAATTTATTACTCCAACAGTTATTAATTATAAAAACAAGAAAAAGCTAAAAGTTAATGGATTTTAAAAAGTAAATATTTATATACATGTACATATGCCCACTATTAGCGCGGCAAATCGGAAAGTACTATATCTGGAAATAATTAATTATTTACATAAGTTTCTTTAGACTTCAAATTTAGGATATATTGGGTTGACAACCAAAAATTAAAAACTACATTTACTACATGTGGATGGAAACTAAAAATTTTATGAATAATAGTTCTTGTTGGACAGCTCTATTAATTTATAAAATTGGCAATTTGGAAAACCTGAATTTTTCAGTGTATGTTACTGCAGACTCCATCTTGAACGCTTTACTAATAAATATTAACATGGTTTTGGCAGCAATATTGTCTTATTAAAAAATCGGTCAGAATTATCCCATCAGAGTAGGCTGTGGGATATTTCCAAGTCAAGTAAGCTTTGCTCCTTTACATATGTGAATTACTCCATTAAAACTCTCAATCATTAATAGGTCATAGAAGAAACAGTACTGTTTCTTATTTTTATTGTTATTTTTCAAAAATGTGGAAATATTTGGCTCTGTTGGTGCATATATTGCTGCTTGGATATATTTCGTTGATCTATTACCAAAGCTCGGTTATCAATGGCATGAAAGCACAAGATGGACATCGCTCTTTAGGCTTGCAGCCGCCAGCAGATCGTCTGGTTGTATTTCTCATCGATGGCTTGCGCGCTGAATCCTTATACAGGAACAAATGGAACGTCCTACCCAATTTGAAACATCTATTTATGGACCATGGCCTGATTGGTATATCGCACGGGAGTGCTCCAACCGAGAGTCGTCCCGGCCACATTTCCATCTTTGGTGGCTTTCAGGAGGATGCTGCAGCAGCCTTGCGCAACTTCAAAAGAAATCCTTCCGTTTTTGATACGGTATTTAATCGCACGATGGGCGCCTCGTGGGCTTGGGGCTCCAAGTCTGTGTTGCAGTTCTTGAAATATTTGCCAAACCATGAAATGTATTTGGATATGCATACCGAATCGGAGCTCACGGGAAACAAGTTTACACATAAGTTGTTGCACAGTAAAGTGCGTAAGTTTTTGGCTGGATCATTTGACAATTCGACGCTGCCATCGGTCTATCTTGTGGATTTTGATAGTCTCGTTGGAAATGAGACTGTGCTCAAGCCGAACAGCGATGAGTTTTTAAAGGCTCTCAATAGTACTGAGACGGTCATTAATCAGCTATATAATTTATTTGAACAATATTTCGGGGATCAGCGAACTGTGTATCTTCTGACATCCGATCATGGAATGACCGATAACGGTAATTACTTCTTTTCTCAGATCTCTTTTACATATTTACAATATAAATTAGGTCGTAGGTTACCATGATCATAAGAGCTTTGAAGCTCATGTTAGTTTTTACTATGTAATTGGTAGACTGTGCATCGATTTAAGCTGAGCAGGACTGAGTTGTTAATAAGGCTGATATTGTTATTGATTTTGCAGGTGATCACGGCGAAGACAGTTTATTTGAGATTGAGATGCCATTCATCTTTTGGGGCGCAGGTATCGAGCGACTGGAGTCTCCCTTTAAAGATATCTACGCGGCGAAGACAAATGGAACTCCAATGCAATTCCAGGAGCTGAAGCAGGAACAGCTCGCACCTTTGATGTCCGCTTTGATTGGACTGCCACCGCCACTGAATAATCGGGCCACACTGGTCATGGGCATGATGAATGTCAGCCGAACATATGAGGCACACTCAATGTACCTGAACGCACGCCAAATATTGGCGCAAGTTGAACAAGTATTGAATAAGCAAGAGCGCAGCTACATCTGGAAATGGCTGCCCCGATTTGAGCGCCTGGATAGACACCGCATAGCACACTTTCATGAGCAGATCCTCACCCAGATACAGAGCGGCTGTCTCAATGAGGCAATACTGTGTAGCCAGAGGATGATACATTCGGCATTGGAATGCCTAGAATACTATAGACTATACTATCGTATACCACTGGTGGTGGCCTGCATGCTAACCTATCTGGGCTGGTTCTACTATCTGCTGGCCAAGCAGGGACGTGCCGAGCATGAGCCCACACGGGGATGGTTCACTATTGCAAATCTGATCCTCTTGCTGATTGAGCTGCTCGTGGCTCTGACGTGCGTTTTGCATAGCGTCCCATGCAGTACCAGTTTCTATCTATTGGTGCCAGTGCCCATGTGGGCATTGGCTCTGCGGGAGCAGGGCTTGCAGTACAGCTGCATGCGTGCTCCGCTCATTCAGCTGGCCTGGATCGGCGCTGCCGTGGTGCTTTTCATTGCCACGTACTTCTTCAAGCCGCTCATCGCTTTGGGCTATCTGATCGTGGTTTGTGCAAACAATGGACACGCCTTTACCCGGGCTCCTAGGCTACGATTTTGGCTGTGGGTCGCGGTGGTTGCCCTGTTGACCGGATTCACGGTGAAGCGCCCCGATTTTGGATGCAATTCAATAGTATTGCTATTCCTGAGCATGCTCGTGACCATACTGCGTCCACTGCTGATGAACGAGCGACATGCCTGTAGAGTCTGGCTGAGCAATGGAAGTGCTTTGCTGTTGGCCACCTATTTAGCCTATGAGCGCCTTTCCAAGAATGAGATCAACTGTGTGCTGCAGGGCGCTGCCTGGTTCTATGTATTATATGCATTCATCTCTATACCCTATAGCAATACGAAGACACCGCGTCGTCGTGTTCAGCTGATTCTCTTCAACTTGAGCACCGTATACACATTGTTAAGCGTCAGCTATGAGTCGATATTTATGCAATTGCTCTGCACCGAGTTTCTGCTGGGCATGCAGGTGGACACGGGAAAAAAGAATTGGACAGATTCAGAAGACAGCGAGGGCGTTGAGGACGAGGCGAAACCCGACAAATCTTTATCTTCGGAGGATCACATCAACAAAATCTATCGCTATGCTGTGCTCATACTTGTCTACGCTTATTTCTCGATGATTGGCACCGGAAATCTGCTCGATATCAGTGCATTTGATACGAGCTTTGCCCACATCTTTGTTTCGGACTGCTCGACGGTTTTAATTTTTTTGCTCTACACGCTGAAGGTGATGATACCCCTAATTATTATCATGAGCAGCTTGTGCGCCTTCCGTGCTTATGTCCGCCATAATCTGTGCGGCATTTTTATCTGCTTGTTCCTGATCTGTGATGTGTTGTGTCTGTACTTCTTCTTCTTTGTGCGCAACAGCGGTTCCTGGCGCACTGTGCGCGAGTCGCTTTCCCAGCAGCTGATCGCCCATGGAGTACCCATGCTATTGGCCGCATTCTCGTTCATACCAAATCTACTGCTGAGTGCCATACCGCTGACCATGCTGCCTATGCTCAACTGGAAGAAGGACGTAAAGATGACACAACTGGGTCAAAGTCAGGTTTAAAAAAGTCAGGTTTTAAAAAAAAAAATTTTGAATGTTCCGAAAATTTAAGTGTTTATGAATTGAATAAAGGTTCAATTGGATTATCATACCCTTTTATTTAAATCGTTTAAAGGCTCAAATTGTATTTTGAAAGATTCTGGTATATATTCAAATTCTCGTCACGATAACACATTAAGTATCTCATTTTGACTTAACTAAAACAATAAGAAATTAGTATTAGGCAGTTTTCAGCTTCTGTGATTCCAAATGCGCCTATAATGGGAAAATAGAATTCGTTATTTATATTATAATACGAGCATTTAATATGAGAAGATACTAGCCTTTTCTGCAACTGATAATAGACTATCAAAACTGCTCTGACCCGTCTCCATAACCATGCTGTGGAAGATCTTCGATTCGCATTCTGTTAGCAACTCGTATGGCGAGCCAAACTCGACCATCTGACCAGCATCCATGACTATCACCTTGTCCGAGTCCATAATTGTGTTCAGCCTATGGGCTATCGTCAGCACTGTGCATTCCCTGAACTTGTTTCTGATAGTCGYCTGGATGAGCGCATCTGTCTGTGGATCCACATTGGCTGTGGCCTCATCCATTACTAGAATGCGATTCTCGCGAAGAATAGCGCGCGCCAGGCATACCAATTGCCTCTGCCCCACACTGAAGTTGGTGCCACCCTCGGAAATMWTRCYYTGAAGTCCATTTGTAAATTCGCTGATGACAGGTTTTAGTTTGACCTCCTCCAGAGCATCCCACAGCTTAGCGTCGCTATACTCCTCAAATGGATCCAAATTATAGCGCATGGTACCCGTAAAGAGCACTGGCTCCTGAGGTATAATGCTAATTTTACTGCGCAGATCGTGAAGTCCCAGCTCGTTTGTGTTGCGGCTATCGATGATGATGGAGCCATCATTATAGGACAGGCGGAATAGGGCGTTGATGAGTGACGACTTGCCTGCACCTGTGCGGCCCACAATGCCCACTTTCTCCATTGGTTTGATCTCGAAGTTGAGAGACTTAAGTACATACTTGGATTGAGGATCGGGTGAGTAACGAAGACTCAGATCGTCAGCCACAATTTTACCCTGCTCTGGCCATGTCGGTGGGGGCTTTTTGCTTGGTTTGGATTCGAACTCGCCTTCAGGCTCAATATCATCATATTCCAATACGCGCTCCACTGCTGTCATTGTGGTGTCTAGTTCGGCGGATTGGGTCATGCCATACTGCACYATTCCTGCCAAACTCATGGCCTGGGTAATAGCCAACCCAACCTCACCAGGCTTGGTAGGTGGGTTGATGAAGTAGTTAAGTACAATTATGATTGTATATAAGGCACAAAAGAAATCCACATAGTAACCAAAAGCACGACTCGTGGACAGAAAAGTGTAGTAGCCAGAGCTGTGTAGATCTTGAAGATTGTCGAACTCGGCAATTAGTGCCTTCTGGGCGCCGAGTGCTCTGATTGTGGTAAGTC